CTTCGCAGATTTCGAAAATAATATCCATTTTCTTCTATCACGTAAAGATTTTTTACAAATCGGGAAGAAAAAAACTCTTACTTAGATCAAATTATTGTTTCGTTTACCACAATGAACTGTTTTTATTATTAAGTTTGTTAACAAACATACAAGAAAAGGGAAGAACATTGATGTCAAACAAATATGCAACCTCATTCATTCTGATTTTTGTGTGTGTGAAATCTGCGTTTTTTATTCTCAAAACTAGGTGTTGTGGTCTTTCTTTTATGTATTGTGTTATAACGTTTTGTGACAAAATGTTTACGTGATGGAGAAAAATAGATATTTTCGGATTCAGCGTACAGGAATTATTGTAGAACGTGTAAACATTTCAATACAATAAAACCATCGCAGGCCTGTGTAGTTTGTGTTAGAAAGTGTTCTTTTATTGATTACTAACGCGACTTGTAAAATAAATGTTATACACTTCTTTACCTTTGGTTGTGGGGGAGGGGGTGTAAATCAATCCACTAATTGCCTGACCACGACATTGTATAATGGTCATATTCCTAGTAAATGTCATGTAAATGAACACGGACGGATTGTAAACTTGGAAAGCTCCAGTGGTAGAGCACTGAGATCCTGTTAACCAGAGGTCTTGGGTTTAAGTCCCAGTCCCTCTTTTCTTCTTTTTTTTTATATACACTTAATGACTTTTCCATTTAAAATAGTTTTAACTTATGCACTTTTTGTTTTGTGAGCGTTCATCAGTTTCAAATATTTGTTAGCGGAACCAGGATATATGTAAAGCGGGTCGGAGGGATCTCTTTCGTAATCATGGCCTTCACTTTGCAGATGAGTACATTTATTCCTTATTGGGTTGGCGTGTGTTTTGGAAACCATTCCAGTACTTTTTTTCTGCTTCAATGGATAACATCAGCTGTTCTATTCTTCAGAGTATTGTGTTCTTTAGCTCTAAACCATTAAACATTTTGCTGGATGAATGTTTCTCATTGGGTGAAACTTCTTATATTCCTCCAGCTATAATTGCACTGGTGACAGCAATCCATTTGACTGGTCGGAAATCCACCATGAGTCTAACATGTTGCTTGTTGGGTCATAGCTCATATCAGCAGCAGCGACATGCCATTGCATAGAATCGTTCAAATAGTGTCATTAACCCTCTAGAAATTATAAACATAGTGGTCCTAACAGCATACGGAGTTCATTTCCCCGAAAGGGGACCAAAGGCCACCCGGAGGAGGTCACCTGTTTTAACCACTTACACCATTATACAATAGTGTGTTATCTGTCAGTCAGTAGACACTAAAGTGACGTCACATAAGGGACGCTTAACGCTGCAATTTGTACTGTCGTGACGTCAGTAAAATGTTCGCATTCCATGAATAACGAGAAGAATTATGCACTCTCTTGGCTACAACACAGCATGACATATGAACTTCAGAAGCATGAAATAAAAATATTTGATACTCTTAATTTTGGTTCTATTTACTCTTGAAGCAGAACACTTTCGGGGACTCTGCGGAAGTACGTGCTGTGCATCTAGTATTTTAATATATATTTATTAACTTTTATTGGCTGAAGAGAAATCTATTATTACAACACTCATTATTGTGCTATAAAGTAATAGAAGACGAATCAAAGTTAAGCATAACCAATTGTGTAGGAAAAACAAGGAGTTGTGAAAGCTGTCTTTGGTTATGTCCATGTAACGATAACAAATTAGTTTATTTCCTCCTTAACGTTTCTTTGAGGCTTGTTTACTTTGTAAGTTGTAGGCCTTGGTAACATTGCAAATAACGCTCAAATGGAAATACCTCGAATAACATAAAGATATACCTACTTGTACAATTTCACGGCTTATTGATCACGTAACTGAAAACAAAACACCGACGAAAACGCACTCTGACTGATTAACCCTATCTATGCTTCACTGATTCACTCTGTATGCTCTCTTACTTGGCTTATTGACTGGTTTACCCGTATTTATAATCTAAATTAGAACTTACGTAATATATTTAAAACTTTCTAGGCCTAATTTATCATTATAACCCGTATCTATCTCTAGCTAACATATAAATTACAACATCAAAAAAAAAGTTTATAACAGTGACCGATCTAGGCCGGAATAATTGAGTCATATTTTAGGCCTCATAACTAAATTATTTGGGGACAATCATGACGATAAACACAGTACTATAATACATATTCTAAATATTAACTTGTCTGTGTGTTCATATTAGTTTTTTCTTTAAATTCTAAAAGGAATAAAATTCTTAAAAACTGGTTCATGAATTTACTTCTAATCATCATACCTTGTGGTTGCTGGTACACATGACAGCACCCTTCACAACAAATGAAATTATTTATTACATTTATTATTTAAATTTACAAACTGAAATATAACGGTTTTATTGACCCACAAGATCTCTAGTTCTTTGTCAGGTGCAGGGCTGAACTTAGGAAAAAGGGCCCAGGGCAAGGGTTCAGTTTAGGGGCCCTTTTATACTTTCCGTATGGTATGCTACCCGTACGATCTACTTCTCCCAAATTTCATATTTTTTTATTTTTTTTTTGCAGAGATCTAAGTGGGGTAAAACTAAGAACCAATATACAATATTATTAAAAAATACTAGACTCAAAAACAATGGCATTCATAGACTTGAAAAGTTTTAACCTATTTAATTTTAAAAAATTATCTATTTTTGTGTTTTACTATATTTACTTTTATTTATATATTTTTTTAGTTTCATCTAATTTTATTTTAATTTTTGACTTTTTGGGGACCGTGTTTGCCCTGTCTTTAATTCAGCCCCGGTTCGGTGGAATTTTCGCAGTAAACTGGAAAAAAAAATGCTTTAAAATAATGGAATACAACTGTGTGGGAAAAGCAGGGGATAGTGCAGTATTAAAAGATCTTATAGGCTTATTATTAATGGCTTATAATCGTGTTTCGCCGGCTTAGAAAAGACGTTTACAGCACCACAATATGATAGTTTTTTTTTAGTAACAAATAGGTGCGAATCTTTGCTTTTCTGACGTGTTGAAATGAATGTTTAGCATCCAATCAGATAGATAAAAATTTTGGTTTTCATCTCCAACCAAAGCACGTTGTTTTGGAGAAAAACTCCAGGCTTTATATCACCTTGAGATGTGAAAAGTTTTTAGCAGGCCTGTATTTTTTGTGATGTTAATAAACCACTAGATATTTAATTTAATTGATATCAGTTAAAATAGGTCCTCATAAATGATAATTTGGTTTGGAAAATCCTGGAATATTTCCCCCCCAATAGCCAAGCTGTGCGAACCACGTTGAGTGAGCTGCCAGAGGAACGCAGTCGTAGTCGTACACGTTCACTGACTCAGCGTTGCGTCCTTTGCTTATCCTGTAATGGGTCTTGGGCCGGCCATGTCGTCAGGATGTCCAACTCCAGACTCCCGAAGCAGGTCTTTATCAAGCAAGTCTTTGTCTCCCAATTCGATCATCATTTCTGCCCTCAGAAAAGGTGCTTAAATGATGTCTTCAAGATCAACATTAAACAAAGCAACGTCGACATCAACTTTTGGAATACTAATTCTCGGGACAATTTAACATGGATGAATTTGCTACAAATATCTCAGCACTTTGAAACCGAACGATGAAAAGAAGAAACGGCAAAAACAGCGTGTCGTAGATTAGACCAACAATCCAAAAACATCTGTTCCACTTGGAAGCCCATGGGGAA